GACAGGCCGTGAGCGTGTGAGTGAGTGACCATAAGCAGAACCTGGAAGCAGCGTGTGTAACACTCCCCTCCGTGTCTTTGCTTTCTGTTCCACTAATGGTTCAATGTATTGTGCAAAACCCAGAAAGTGGGTTGATTCGGTGACCAGTTTAAAAGCATCGTGTGAACACAATTCGCTCCTCAGCCATCCCAATTTGCGGAAAAGCCGACCAACCCAAAATGTGTCCTGGTGCACCCCAGAAGCACCCCAAGGCTGTTCTCCTCTGAGATTCGCTCCACCCTCCCATTCTCTCCTATCTCTTGTGATTTTACTGCATTATCAGCTTGCTCCTTGCCCCCTCGTCTTACCCAGATTTTTTCATTTCCTGTCCTCCTCCAGCTTGCCGAGATGCGGTTGATTGAATCGAGATGGGACAGTGGAGGCAGGGAACAGCACAATGGGGGTTATTGCTTTGCAATGCAAAGTTACGAGGTGGAGGGGAAGAGAAGGATGCTCTCGCACCACCAGGCCATTCCCCAACACGGTGCCCACCAGCTGTTTCGGACTAAAACTTGGAGGCTTCCTGGCCACCAAGGGAAGTGCGAAAGGCTGCTATGATAAGAGGCATTAACTGACCTGCCTGGAAAGTCCCTTTCATTCTGCACCCAGATATAGCTGAATCCTGAATGATTTCTCTTCTTTGTCCCAGGGCTTTGCAGGAGGGGGGCAAATGACTTACACGCTTGCATCAGATGTTGAGATCCAAGAATGTAAATGCAGCCTTTGTAGGATGACACGGCTGCACACGTACCGGCCTTCTAGCATCACCACCATTCACTGCAGATGTTGTTGTACTTGTCTACGTTGTTCAGTGCAAATCAAAACAGCGAGAATCCAGCAAAACAATCATTTGACGACAACAGATGTCATCCTCCAAGAGAGGGAGGAGAAGTGGTCTTTCCCTGGCTGACGCACCAGCTTGTTCAAATAAGTGGGACACCGACTCAGCAAGTGTCAAACGTCCTCCGTATCTGCTCAGAAGTTGCTACGTCTTGCCTGTGGGCATGTCTGTGTGTATTCCTTTCTAAAAGGGTCCAGGTCTTCCAGTTTTGTAGATGCAAAGAAATCAGGTGTAGCTACTGAGCAGATAGGAAAATGTATTCTATGGATCAGTGTTTCTCCACCTTGACCACTTTAAGATGGGTGGACTTCAACTCCATCTTAAAGTGGCCAAGGTGGAGAAACACTGCTATGGA